CGTGTGCTCTTCCGATCTATAGTGTATCAGTTTAGTACATCATTCTTTAAATGCATTGTAGAAATTAAGATAATTTAATAGAAAGTTTCTAGTTAGTACGCGTATTAAGTGCTCGATGTAAACTAGGCTACTGGTATGTATGTATGTACATACGTTTACCTTATAGATTTTTAATTTACCACGCAAAGCAAGTTTCCGCATGGATTTTCAATTTGCCGGATTTGCCCCACATAGCAAGATAACAATTTCTATAATTAAACATATTAACAAATATTTTGTATAATATATCTCATATTTTGTGCGCATTTCTATCATGACGCATGCTCATATTGCTGTATTCCGTCGATATGATAGATTCCCTAACCTCTAAGAAGAATTTTAACGCTCAGTTATTACTTTCTTAGTGGCGAGTGACTTTTTTTCAAATCTTTGTTTTTACAACAAATGCAATCGAATGAGTATTTTAATCAAAATTAAAGGTGAGAGGATTAAAGTAATCATTTACCTCTTTCATATTTAAATGCTTATATCTAAGGAACAATTTTTTGCTGTTCTGATGTGAGCACAGATGTAAGCGCTTAAGAGCTAAAAAAAAACCAAACGACGGAAAATAGAGTTTATAAGGGTGAGAGCGTGAGTTCCAAACCAAGAGCAGCCTTGAAAACAACCAAAAAATCTGTTGAAAGATCAAAGAAGCAATATGGTCAATCTAGATCGCTGTAGACACCAGGTTAGTTGCGTTGCTTGAATTTTTCCATAACCTATTTTCCGCGGAGGCCGAAATATATATATATGTAAAAAGTGCATACGTTATTGTGTACGGATGAGTAAGGATAGATCAAAATTATAAAATAAAACGAACAGTAAAAAATACATAAAATAACGATAGTAAATGTACTTTGTCGAAGTTTCAAGCAAGCAGATTTATACTACGGCAATCTGTCAATCTTGCTGGCGTTGAGTCAATGTAACGGAGTTATTTTAGCTACGAATTTTGGACCTGACCTGACCTAGCTGATGTATGTTATCGGATATTTGCGTCGTATTACAATTTCACACTGTTACTTCTGCATCGACATAAATCAAAGCTGTCAAGACAGCTGTGATAATTAATCATAAAGGTGAGAGATTTTGTCTATCTCAATGTGCATAATAAAATGATCACATTATTTAGGTATCATGTTTTATTACCTGGGAAAAAAGTTTCATATATAATTATATATAATTATATGCAAAATATGTCCATATATGTTTCTTTTCTTTGTAAAATTATTCTTTAATACAAAATTGATAATAATAAGAAGGAAACATA